AAGTTGACTCTACTTTGAGGAAGAAGCTCTTCTCCATTAATATTTTGAGTGTGTTCCAACTGAGGGGCTCTTCTTCTGGTATTATCCCAGACAATGTTTCCCTGCTATCATAAGGTTCTCACTGGCCAATTTTTTTTAGAAGTAAATCGCCGGGTACTTCTTCCTAGACTCTCTTAGTCTGGTAGCTCTGTTAAAACCTATCCACCATGTGTGACCCTTCTGGTATTTGAAATACTGGTGGCAGAGCTTCCAGCATCACAGCAATACGCAAGCTCCCACAGTAAGACAAACTGACTAATGAGTGGTGGTAGGGCTCTTTACCACTCAAAATACATGTAATAATAAAAGTTAAACAGAATCAGATAAAAATGGTCTATAGAACATGACTGATTAACAAAGCAAAATTAGAAAAGTAGTTTAATTTATCCATAAGTAAATTCTCCTAATATGCTTTGAGCGATTTTTGAGCACCAAAAAATGCAAAAATCCATTTGGTTACCGTACAATTCTTTCTAAAGGAAGACCTACTTTCACTAAATTTGGAAATGAGAAAAATGTTTCAGTAACTGAGCATTAATACCATATTGTGATACATTCTAAGTGTCTTTGCATTTTATTTAGAGAATTATGCTAAAGACTGATTCATATAAAATACATGTTAGAACAAGAAATATTAGAGATAGAAAATATAAGATAGATATATTTCATCTCTATCGTCAAACATATTAACATACTGCACATGAGGTATGAATGAATTTAAAAAATAACAAAAATAATATTACTTGAGTGGGGGAGTGGTGAAGGCATGAAGATTTCCATTGAGAGGGAACGAAACAATCTAAGAGTGAAGTGATGATTACGTGAATTGCTGTAAGATATAGCTGCATTAAATGTATTATTTTCATTTCAAAGTTTTTCCACTCCTTTGGGGTGTTCTTTACACAATTAGGATGTTAAATAGATTATCCCAAAGGTCTTTCTGTTTAAATAATTTTTTTGTAACTTTTAATTTTCAAATGGGAAAGTGACACAGGGAAGAAAAGTGGATTACTGATAATTTCCATGTACATGATTTCAAAGCGTGTGGATTTACTTAAAAACTTGCTAATAAATATAATAATAAGTTATACTCTTTGAGGAAAAGCACCATTATTTAGAAAATTGTAAGTTAAGATTAAAAAATGTGAATTAACAATTGTTCTGCTGAAATAAACACTAACCTAAACTAAAATATTGTTTCACACATCTATATACATTTCCATAGAATTGAAAAATGGAAAGCTTAAAAGAATGCGATTATAGGTTATAACATACTTTATAGGTGCAAGTCAATTGTTACTATAAAATTCTTTGAAATCTAGTCCCCAGGAGAACTTTGCATTTATTATAGACGACATATGAGTTAGCTATGAGTTAGCCAAGTTTATGCTTGGCACATTAAAGTTAGATTCAGAAAGAGTTTGGAGACGATTGAAGGGTAAAATGTAAGCTTAAAAGGATGAATATTTTGGATGAAAAATTATGGAGATGTAATATAAATATTTTAGGGGAGAGATGAAAATAAATGAGATAATTTATTTTAAATATATCTATTTCTAGCATAATGTACAAGATTCCTTCAGTGTCAATCCTTAATTATGGAGTAGCACAAAATAATATCTTAGAAGAAATTATATGTGTAAAAACCAGTGTTTCTGTATTAGTTATTTTTGAGATGGAAGTAAGCATAATTCATGTGAATTTAGATTTAAAAAGAAATTATATTACCTTATTGAATATCATTTTCCTGCACAGATATTTCAGAAGGGATGTAGGTCTAAGAACTAACTGTGTTTAAAACAAACTCTAAATATTTGTTTACAGGAAATAATTACATTCGTGCACCTTTGTTTTACCTGAAAGGACAAAATTTCAACCCCTGTATATTACAGCCGTTGAAATAAAATTTTGTTTGAATCTAAATTATAGGGAACTACTTTTCTTCAAGTATGTGTGATAGAAGTTCCTAGGGAATAGTTTATCTATTGAAAGCATATGGCATAAATTAACTTAGACTGGAAGGATGATTACATAATATCGTGTATGTAGTGCCACATTGTTTTCAACTATGGAGCATCATCACTTAAACCAAAATAAGTCTACATATATATGTGCACTTTGTCCTAAGACTACAGTGTTGACAAAATGTACGGGCAGAAAAATCAATTATTTGTTGTCTTTAAAAGTTAACTTTAGTTATTCTTAAAGTAAGGCAACTTATAAATCGTTAAGCAAATAAAATGATTTTCAATTTGTGTATAGATAGTCAATGAGATCTTTATTTAAAAAGATAACTATTGTGCCTAGCAAAATAAAAACTTAGTCATGATTCTTAAATCATTCGTCAAGGGAATGGTCCATTCCTACTTTATTTGTGTGTGTAAATAAATGATACCCGTTGCCATCGAGTCGATTCTGGCTCGTAGCGACCCTAGACAACAGGGTAGAACTGCCCCATAGGGTTTCCAGGGCTGTAATGTTTACGGAAGCAGACTGCCGCGTCTTTCTCCCACAGAGTGGCTGGTGGGTTGGAACAGCTGACCTTTCAGTTCGCAGCTGAGGACTTAACCACTGTACCACCAGGGCTCCTTATAAATAACCGACGAACATATAATCAGGAAGACCTAGGTACTACGACATCGTGAGAATGTGTTTTGTCTCAGCAAACTATTGCACCACTACTTTGTAAAGCCAAAGAAGCTACATGAAATGCATTAAAGCAATCCCATTTCATCCATACCCCTCAGCAAAGAACATGTGTAGAGAAAAATTTTGGCATGTCTTTCTATATACACAGGACTTAGGTAATATCATGAATGGGAAGGGCAACTTCTAACCAAAGTCCTTTTCTGTCATGCATACACCCACACGTACACAGCACTGGGATCAGCATCTAAACGGCTCGGCGGGGAATCAGCACACAGCAGGCTGTGACAGTGTGGGGTGGGGAAATCTGGACACAAGAGCAAACTTGTATTTTTTCACAATAGACAAAGAATTCACTGGTTCCTTAATAAAGGGCGTTAAGAGAAGAGAAAAATATTAAAGGGAGCCTATGATCCCTAAGCCAATGGCCAACCAAGTTAAAAATGCCTTAGGAATAATGTTTACATTAACATAAGGTGCCCATTTTGACAAACTTTCTATAGTGACGCAGTTTTATTTACTTTGCCTATTTTATCAAATCAGAGAACTGAGGAAAATTCATGTACACCAGTTCTCACTGTAATAAAGGGCACAGAGCAAAACTTTAGACTTATTTTGATTTAAAGATCTAGGTTGCTCAGACTGTTTCTAAGCAAAATCTATAGTTTTTTAAAAATAATGAATCCAGTCAGCCCAGGGAGTTGTTAGGTTAAGAGAATAATTTCCAAACAGTAAAAATAACCAACTCAAAAATTTGCTTAATTCTTAGACTATTATGAAAATAAATGAGATATGTATATTTTCTAATGAATATATTTGCATTATCATATTATTTCTTTTTTAAAACCAAGTGTTTATTGATTGTCTGTGAGGTGAACAAGACTGATTTTTCACTGGAGTTCTTCTTGCATCGTTTTCTGAAGCAATTTTTAATTGAAGATGTATCTTACATTCTAACGCTGTTGTAAATATTGCCTTTTCAGTTATAAACACTTTGCCATTGAGGACAGAGTAGAGCTTCCCCATAGGGTTTCCAAGGCTGTAATCTTTATGGAAGCAGACTGCCACATCTTTCTCCCTCAGACAGGCTGAACCACAGACCTATTGGTGCGCAGCAGAGTGCTATAACCGCTGTGCCACCATGGCTTCTTTGTTTGATAGGAGTTAATTATTTTGCTCTTCCCAAGAGACAGTCTATCTGTCTATTTATCTATCTATCATCATCTATCTACGTACCTATCTATCTTGCAAACACTACATCTGATTATGCAAATTCCATGCAATTAAAATTTCACAATTAAGACAATGAAGTAAAGGAAATTGGATCATGAAAAATTATTTTCTCGGGATTGAAAAACAAAGGGAAAGTGGTCATGCTGGGAAATAGCATGCAATTTTAGTAGCAAAGAAAATAGTTGAGTAATTGTATATTATAATATTAAAAAGCTTAATAAGTACTTTCGAATAATACTGGGTTTAGATATCTGCTCTGAAGTTGAGATACTGCAATATTCATCCAACATTATGTCTCTTGCAGTGATTCTTAACCAGAAATGTACAGTAAAATCATCTGGGTAGTTATATTTAAATGTACATTACCAAAGAAATTTTAGCTTAGTAGACTGAACTATTGTATATGATCCCCCAGGCTAAATTATTGGCTTTGGCAGATTTATATTCAATCATTGAATGCTACATTATGGGTCCCCAAGTCTAGCCACTTATGGATCAATATTCTCTACCCTAGCCTACCTTTCTAAACATTTAGCTATTATATGCCGATATGTGTCTTTGTGATCTCTTTTTATCTGACAACTTCAGAGGATGCTACTATCAAACCGTAAATCATTCCTCTGTTATGAAGAATCTCACAATATTTTAACATTAAGAATTAATTCTAAAGATATATAGACTGCACAAAGCATTTTATTGCCTTAGATCTTTTTATTTTCTGGTAAGTGCAATTGCTTTTGAACTAATTTTATCAAAGTATATGATAATGTTTTCAATAGAGATTATTATAAGATATATATGATATTTCTCTTTGATACATACTTCTAATCATGTTGACACATGAAATAGCTCTATTAATAAGCCACAGGATAATATTTAAATATCCTTCACTGAAAGAGGAAGAGAAGTGAAGTCTTAGAAAAAGAAAACATCCTTCTTAGTTAAAGGGGGACTGTGGTTGTTTGGCTTTAAATATGGAAGGAGCTGTGTTTCCCCACCAAACACTGCCTGGGTGCAGATATGCTGTCTGCTTTGTACTGACAACCACATTCCTCTATTTAGAGTTAAGAAAGTGAATTTACCGTGTCTGAGAAACGGTAAAACTTCTCCAATGCAAAAGCTTCTGTCTGTGGGAAGGTAAAGTGGACCAAAAGGGATTGAGAAACCAGAGAATCAAGTCATATATGATCAAAATATAATTGCACAATTGGTTATAATTACGTATAGCATTGTAACATACATACGTATCAATTAATAGATTTTTCACATATGCAAGCTATCCACCCACAAAGTATGAATTGAACTTTTTAAAAAAAAAACTTGATTTTTTCTGAACTAAATATTAATTGCAATATTTGCTCCTTGAATATTTCATCTACTGATTAAAAATTTTTAAATATTACTATTGTTGCATTTCAACATTTTACCAGATTTCCAATCACTGATAAAATTAATCTTTGTAAGCTAAAAAGGAAAGAATGTAAAATATTTTATGCCAATATTTTTACATGTGGTAAAACTGAATAAAAAACTGCTTTGGTAAGGCTAATTTTTTAAACAGGAAAAAAACAACTGAATGTATGTACTTGTAGTCTATTACTTTATCCACTGGATACTGTGACTGTTGGATACTGAGACCATTGGATACTGGGACCATAGGATACCAGGACCATTGGATACTGGGACCATTGGATACTGGGACCATTGGATACTGAGACTGTTGGGTGTGTTGTGGGCGTAGAGTATATCTGATCTCTCAGACTTCCTCCATTTAGACATCACCTCGTAATCTTCATTCCTCCTGTTTGTAGCACAAGGTTGATACATTCTAAATTATATAGGAAGGAGGAGGAAGGTAGAGAAATTAAAAATGAAAGTCAAAAAGCAAACCAAAAAGATAGGGAACATGAGTATTGCTTTACTTCTCATTAGTGCTGTTGGAAGGGGAAATTGTCTTTTTCAGCCACTAACTGGAAATAAAGAGGAGAAGTTCACTCCTGTGACAGAGCAGCTTGTCCTGATAAGGTGTGTCAGTCAGTGCCAGGTGTCATGAGAGATAGGTGGAGCCAGTAGGCAGAGAGGGAGAAAGAAGAGGAAGAATGAGAGAGAAAGGGAGAGTGAAGTAGAACAAGAAAAGTGTAAGTAGACTAGGGGGTGGGAGTGGATGGAAGGGGGTAAAGAAAAGTTAATCTCTCCATCACAATATGTTTCAATGTACACATTATACACTTTCATATTCATGAAAATTTAACCAAATTTAAGCTCTAGCATTGCTTTCTGTCCAGTGTATTTACCCAACAGTCTCCCAATTCTTGTGTTCCTTCCATTCTGTAATGAATTCAGTATTTATTGTATTTATTGGAGCAATGCTGATTTTCGGGGTGCTAATTATACAAGATTCAATAAGTTATTCCTTTAGAATACATTTAATACTGAATATACCCAAGCACTGAGAGACTGTTGCTCAGTGCTTCAAAAAAAACTAATGAATATATAAGTTGCAGTCAATAATTCAGAAATCATTATGAATCCTTAAAAAGTTTAAAAATTAAACCCTTTAAAACACTCTTTGAAATGCAAACTATATGCATTAGACTATTATTTTTAACATTTGAATTATGTTTTGACTTAAATATTTAAGTATCCCAGACCTTGGCCACAATTTCTCCTGTTACGTATGACTTTGACATTTCTCTACTGCTTCAAGAGTTTATTTGCTTTTATGATGGCAGTTGGTACATTCAAATTAGAAGTAAAGTCATAGGTTTGCTGGCTAATAGAAACTCTCCCTTAGAAAAGAAAAGGAGGTTGGTCAAAACCGTGTGCGTGCAACGTGAGACGCCATGACAGATCTTAATACAGAGGAACAACCGTATTCTGGAAATCCGAATTCAATCAGGAGATTACTTCTACAGGCTCCTGTGGTTTCTGAACGATGTTCTAAATAAATGTTGTTTTGGGTTCAGCTGTTATTTTTTATCAGATGATAGCAAGAAAAGGTTTCAGGAGAAATGTCTTAAGAATATAAAAAAGTATGCATAAAAAGACATCACATAGTTTTACATGAAAAAGACATCACATAGTTTTACATGAATTATCATCACAGTATTAATAAATACTATTTGATGCAAACAATTAGTTCAAAAAAATGAAAAATTTAAAAACTACATTTGATGAGTTACATCAAGTAAAACCATTAGAGACATTCTTACATTGTAAGTAAGCAATGATACATTTTGCTAATTGAAACAAAAAACAGTGGTGTTCCAGAAAGTACGTTAGAAAGAAGTTGATAAAATTCTCATGTCACCAGATACGCTGTGTAAAGTATATGGAGTGTCACCATTTTCTCCCTGAAGCTATTTTTGGCATATTTGTTTCAAATTTGAGAAAACCAAAGCAATATCATATTTAGGTCCCTGTCTCTCTTTCCTCTCCCTACACTTCTAGTAAATACACCAAATTCAGTTTCCAGTAAAAAGTGGCATCCTAACAACCCCGGTACTTTTAATTGCTTACTTTATTCTTTCTCTTTCTTTGAAATCTCAGAAGTTCTTTGTGTTGTCTTGATACAAAGTTCACAGCTGCATACTCCAGAAGCGCTGAGAACACGAAGAGGAGGCATACAGCCATCCATATGTCAATAGCTTTGACGTATGAAACCTAGGCAGGAGAGAAAGACAGAGTAAGCAAAATGACTTACGTTGTTACTTCCACGGACAAAAAAAAACTGAATACATTTCTGATTCTGAATTAATCATTTATATTACAGTTTGAAGAAATAAACAGAACGATACCAATCTTTTTATTAGTAAGAATTCTTCACAGATTAATTTTGCAACCTTGCTACATTACTTATACTTTAAAACTTGTATAAACCTTATTTTTTTTTAATGAGACACTAGCACGAGCGTATAATAAAAGGTAAAAAATAATATGCAATTTTACCTTCAAGATAGTATAATACTTGAAAAGTATAAAGCTATGTTGAAATATAGATAATGCTGTTGACCTTATAGTCCCATTATTTTCTTCATTTAAAAAACTTTTTAATTTGAAATAATTTTAACCTTACGGATAAGCTAAAGAGTAGCACAAAGAAGTCCCCAGTTCCCTAGTTGTTAACATGTGGTCACATTTATCACTATATAGATATGTTTTTTATTTCCCTGAACTATAGTTATCTTAAAGGATCAAAACCTTACATTTAGGATTTCTTTTTTTTTTGCTGTTTATATCTTCTGGGTTTTTTTTGTTTGTTTGTTTTACTTTTTTTCCCTTTTCTCATCTTCAACGTGTAGTGAGGTTATTTTTGTCAAATGTCAGCCTGTGGGAATTTTGATCAATTCTAGGTTGTGCTTTTAAAGGGGAAGCAGGGTAAGGTATGGTGGAGGGAGCAGTAAATAAAATGAAAGAAATCTTCCTCCCACATTTCCCAGCTGGCCTTTCAGGTCTCAGGCTAAACTTTGCCCATGTCTGGTTCAGAATTCCTCCTGTTCCATTCCATGGCACCTGTGCTTATTTCAACACATGGCATTGTAATTGCTTATTTCTTTGTTTCTCTTTCTGTCAAACTTTAAACTCTTTGAGGGAAGGTAGCATGTCTGCCTTGCTCACCACCACAACGGTGTTTTCCGTATACATACATTTTGCTGTTGTTGTTGCGTGCAAGGACGGATGAACGAAAGTGTAAAAGATTAAAATACAGGGGGGAGAGTAAATCATAGATGAGTCACTTAGAGAGTCACTTTCTTGAGTTATGTCCTGTTAATAGTTCAGTTTGGATTTGTTTCATTTGAAAAAGAAGCTATTTCCTGACACCTCCAGTGGTGTCAACTTAAATATAAATTATTCCAACAAAGGAGCCCTCTGTAATTTGTCCTGTATCTTCAATGTGACTTCTCCTGGCCAGAATGGCCTCTAGTGTCCACCTATGTGTAAAGCACAGATTTCAATCTCATAAATTATGCCAGAGGTTTCTGATGGCCTCAGATATACACAGTCCTGGAAGACATAACACAGCTTTCAAAGGAACTGTCTGAAGCTGCATCATTCCCAAAAGAAAAGGACTCAAAGTATGTGTGCATTATTTAACAACCTGAATCTATAATAACATGAACCAAAGGGATTAAATCAAAACTATAATTTGCAGATTAATCCAATGGATGCTTTCAGTCACAATAGACATATGCAAGCCTCATTTGTGCCTGACAGAGTTTGGCTAATTGTGAATAATACATTAGCCTTAAAGGCCTACTTTACTCATCTTCTCCTATGACCCCCTGTCATGGATTGAATTATGTTTCCTAAAAATATCTGTCAACTCGGTTTGGTCATGATTCCCAGTATTGTATGATTGTCTACCATTTTATCATCTGACGAGATTTCCCTGTGTGTTGTAAATTCTATCACTATGACATAAAAAGATGGATTAGCAGCAGTTATACTAATGAGGTCTACAAGTTTAGATAGTGTCTTAAGCCAATCTCTTTTGAGATATAAAAGAGAGAAGAGAGCAGAGACACATGGGAACCTCACACCACCAAGAAAGCAGTTCAAGGAGCAGAGTGTGTCCTTTGGACCTGAGGTTCCTGTGCTGAGATGCTCCCAGACCAAGGGAAGACTGATGTATCATAAGGACCTTTCTCCAGAGCCAACAGAGAGACAAAGCCTTCCCCTGGAGCTGATGCCTTGAATTTGGACTTGTAGCCTACTGGTCTGTGACAGAATAAATTTCTCTTTGTTAAAAGCCATCCACTTGTGGTATTTCTATTATAGCAGCACTAGATGACTAAGACACCCCTCTTCACAATTTCAACTAATTTTCTCCTCCACCCCAGCTACACCTCCAAGTACGGAAAACCCAGGATATGGGAAGTTTGCTCTAGGGCTAGTAACTTTAAAACAAAACAATAGTTTTTACTGCAATATACTCACAATCTTTGTCTCCTCCCAGTGTGATTCACCTTTATCGCCTTCTTTGCACCCCTACCGCCTGCAGTACTTCAGGGGACTGTTATTCCAATCCTGCCCATCCCAATAACCACCTTCTCAATAGTCGGATCCACCAGGCACTTGGATGCTGCTGAGTCTTAAGCAACAGCTCTTCCCAACATTTTTCCTTGAAAAATAAAACCTAGAAATTCACCAATTTCGTGCACTGGTCAGGAGGACTTTTGTCCTGGAAACCACTCCCAAGCCACCCTGTGGAAGGCTGCTTCCTCTTGGAAACATGCTTTTCTCTTGGCCTCCATGACCTGTGTTCTCTGGACTTCCTTCCAGCTCTCTGCCCCAAGCTGTTTTGTGGGCTCTCCCTCTTTTCCGTGAGTTTCTTATGGATATGGAGAGGCCCTTTTCTGTTCTCACTCTGAAATCTCTCTCCAGTTGATCTGATCTGTTGTCATGACTTCAGCTCCTCTTCTGTGTTCATGACCCTCAAATCTCTGTTTCCTAACTAGACCCCTTACTAGCTAGATCTTAGTTCATAGCACCTTTTGGTTGTCTCAGGTGCTTCCAATGCAATGTGACTAAAGAGGAGATATGGATCTCTCTGGAGTCCCCGGGTGGTGCAAACGGTAAATGTTTCTGGCTGCTAACCAAAAGGTTAGAGGTTTGAGTCCACCCAGAGGTGCCTCGGAAGGTGATCTACTCTTGAAAAATGAGCCATTGCAAATGCAGTAGAGCACCATGTACTCTCACACACAAGGGGTTACCATGAGTTGGAATCCATTCCACAGCTACTGGAACAACTGGAACGGATCTAACCTCCTCACTGAAAGACTCCACTCTCTCTGTGGTTGTTCACCACCAAATCTAGGAGTCTCTCACTCGTTCATGTCAATCACTGACCCAGAGCTTTTAATTTTAATTTATTGCTGTTTCTAAAATTTGTCAATTTCATCCTCCTCTACAGCTGTTCCATTGGTCTAAACTACAGTAATCTGTTTCCTGGTCTCTCAAATCTATCCTTGACAGAACCTAGTGAGTACTTGTAAATTCAGATCTGATCATGTTGTCTTCTACTTACAAGTTTTCATCTGCTTTCCATTAATTCCAAGTCCCAAATCTGTTTGTGGTATATAAAGCCCTTCATGATGGGGGCCCAGCTTACCTCTCTCACAGCAGGTATTCATTTACCGATTTTTTTATTCAACATTTACTTAACACCAGTGATATGCCAAGTTCTGTTCTTAGAGTTGAAGGTACAGAGATGAGTAAGGCAGATGAGATCTCTCTCTAATGGAACTTATATTCCAGTTGGGGAGACAATACAATAAAACATAAATACTTAAATAG